TTCTTCTAATAGTCGACTATGATTGATCAATTTTATTATGACTTAAGATTCATTGCTTATTGTACAATGGGCTTTACGGAAAGCAGCACATTAATTGTTTATCGTGTGCAAACTTTCGTCGCGTGGCAAGCGTTGCCGCGTTCTGTGTACAGAAGCCACTATAATAAAAAAGTAACGATACAAGTAACGATGAATTTCGTTACTCGTTACTAAAGAAAATGTAACGCCGTTACTTTTTCGTTACTGATACAAAAAAGTAACGGCGTTACCAAATCGTTACCAAAAAAAAGTAACGAAATAGTAACGTCGTTACAAATAACGCGTTACTTCCCAACCCTGCTAAAATGTTTCACTTGCGAGATATCTTATCAGCCTGGACCTTTTTGAACGTCCTATATAATGCATTACTTAAATTAAACGTAATCTAGATTCCCCAGGCACGCATGGAATTTTGATAAATCGTATTGCTGTGGTGCAACGTGCGGTTGCGATTCGCGCTCGATCCAAGCGATTTGAGAATTCTCCCGGTATTATGCAGGCGTATTACATCCCACAACAAAAGGGGTAAACGTTTGTTTAGTTGTTTGTTACTCGCGTGGGTGTAATCTGTTAAAGCAGCTCCCAACGGTATTTCTCTTTCATTTGTCAAGGGACGCATATCCGGCAAATCGCTCTCGAGGAAGGCTCGGAGGTTGCGCACTGCGTAAATGCAACGTATCGACGAGAAAGTCGTAAACGCTTTAACATTGATCAAAGGCGTTTTCTTTAAACGGCATGTAACATATGTAGCTCGGCGATTTTATATATATATTCAGAAAATAAAAAATATAATTAAGGTAAAAGTACCAATGCCTGGACACGTAACTATGGACATTCTTGCTGCTTCAGTAATAATCAAATATCATTTCACTGCTAAGAAAAGCGACCACTCAGTTTACTTTCCTTCTTTTATGTGAGTTATTTTCAATAAAGAATATTTTTCTTAAAATATCTTTTTGATAAGAGAGTCTTAAAATATACTCATCATAAATTTTAGGAAAGCTCATTACTATGTATTCAACAGAAGAGTTTATTCTCTTTACAAGATTATATAACTTTGTCGAAGAAAAAGTTAGCTCGACTCTACGTAATAAGCAAACCGCAAACTTTTGTTTTAATTTAATATCCTTCATTGAGATGCTAAAAATTCAGAGGATTCAGAGTGTATTTTGAATAAATTTGCTGAACTTTATGATGAACTAGTGATGCACTTTATCATAAATTATGGTGAAAAAAACCTTTCTTTATTAAATTTTACTATCATTTTTAAATTTTACTATCATAATAAGCATTAACTTAATAAACACGTTTATAAACTATTACCATTTCTGTGTTGAAACAACCAAGAAATATGGTTGGGGTAAGAAATATAATTTTAATTGGATCAACCATGTTCTTTCTCTCTCGACATAGATTTGTGGATATGTAACTTATAAGATATTTAAAACGAGTATCGTTTACTTGAATGCAGAGAGTATATATTTTTCTGCATGTAGGATATGGTGTGTGTACACATTCCATAAATGTGTATATATTTATGTTGAAAGTTTAAAATATTCGTGTTTTAAGATCAAAGCAATAAGAATGTGCAGAATCAAAAGTATTGGTACTTTTACTTCAACAATTGTTAACGATCGGAAAAGAGAAAAATAATCTGTGTGTGCTGTCTGACGAGAAGAGGGAAGAAAAATAAGCAGAAATATCCGGTTATCCTTATCCTACTCGATGTATTCGAAGCGTCGTATGCGGTATTAGGAGCTGGAGACGCTTCGTGCGTTTAACTCCGATGAAATTCACGATTCGCGAGATATACGAGCTACGTCGTCGACGAGTATGATTCTATGACGTCGCTGCGAAGAGATGGCGATTCGTAGAGATTTGTCGCGACAGAAGCACCGTGCCCGGCTGAAGAGCACTTTCTCTGGAGAGCGATCGGCGCGGTGGCGAGGGAGCAGACTCGCGAATCCCTTAGTGTGAATAGTGTGTTTCCGATTGGCAGGGGGAGCCTTTTCACCTCGCAGACGAGCTCGGTGACTGAGGCGACCAGCGACGAAATCGACATTGACATCGAGGAGCCGCAGAGGGTCACCACGTGAGTACCACATCGATCTACGTAGGGCGAGAATTCGCCGTCGAAAGTTGCACCATCGTCTGGCGTCACGTGACGCCGCGTTGTTTGTAGGTTTGTAGTGCGCGTTAAGCCGCGCTAGACGGAAACGTGTATGGCCCGTTCGATAACTTGCAAAGCGACTTTCGAGGCCCGCCGCCGCACAGCCATCGTCGTGGCGGTCGATCGTCGAGTTATTAAACGCCCATTTCGCGTGTATACTGAGTTGGATCGCGCCGACCGAAATCAGAGTATAGAATGCCGAGGAACGTATATCTCCATGCAAATTACTTCCACTTTGTATGCGGAATCGATAACGCCGGGGAATTTTCGTATACCTCGTGCATACCATAATATACGGATAAATATCGCCCAGATCGTTGGACGCGCGCGCGCGCGCGCGCCAACTCTCTATCCGAGCAGGATAGAGAGCGAAGGGATGTGCTCCATAGGAATAGGAATAGTGTGCGTTTACTCGGAGCAAATCTCATTTCGCGAAACACGCGTAAGTACTGCCGGCGCTCGCGTTTCGATCCGGCGTTCGCGTTTACGTGGCCTCGAATATAGCCCGAAATGCCCTTTGAAATTGGAGCCGAACGCGCGCGCGAAGGCTCGCGATTCGATCTCTCCACTATCGCCGTAAAAATGTCCCTGCGCTCTCGTGGCGCTCGTACAATCCGACGGTGTGCGTTCTCGCGCCACGATTTTAACTTTGCGCCCTTCAATTCCGCGTTCTTCAATTTCCACCGTCTATTACCGGCCACTTTCGGTCCGATGATAAGCGCTGCGAGTGAAAATAGAATGTATCGAATATTCACTCGGGATGTGCTCGATGTATATTTCATTTCGCGCGGCACGTCGGAGCGCGCACGAGCGAGGATTTGAACGGCACGCGAAAGGAAGTTTTCTTGGATTAACCGACCTCTGATTGAAGTATGGACACGAATCAGAAAATTCCGGCTGCAGTTACCAAAATTCTATTCAAGTTAACCAGAAGTTTTGTTAACTTGAATAACGGATCTTCATGTTCTGGTTCGTTCATATTTTATCATAAATCTGCCTAATTCAACCGAACTCTTTCTTTTTCAGTGCGCGCGCTACTTCCAGTTCGTCTGCATTTATCACGTGATATTCTCGTTTTGATAAAAACAAAAAAAACACACGTTTTGATTCAACAATTCTCAGAGGGTGCTTTCGAATAAAATATTCGCTCTCTGGCCGGGCGACTATTCTAAATCCTTATATCGGCTTGACACTGCATCTTTATTCTCAGCGGTATCAGAAATGCTTTATATATTTAGGACATCCTTGAACTTTTAATCCGGAGGTTTAATTTAGCACATTAGGTATTGTCCATCTTGAGCGCCGTGGTGCAATCTATCGGATGTTTTGGTGCCACGGAATATAATCCGCCCAACTCCCTCTGTCTTTCGCTCGCTCGTTCATTAAGAATTAATGATATCGGCTAAACAATTAGGCGGAAGATTATTGGGGCATTCGTCGTGTCTCGCGCTGAAATATCTCGTTGCCACGTCACGTTTTCTAGGATCCATAGACAGGAGAGAAGAGCGGAGGAGAGGAGAGATAAGGCGAAGCCTCGACTGGCTTTGCGCGCCATTAACACTTCGAGGGAGTCGATTCTTCGAACGCGTACGAAACGCACAGTATTCCGCACAAAAGGTCTTTTTCGAACCTTCCCGCCGCATGCGCGGACTCGTAAAGTGCTTTTCCCACACCGCGCCATTACTTTCTACAGTACGAATGACCCAGATTTCGCGGTGGCGTCGGCGAGTGCGCGCGTAGTCGAACTTGTGTGCATAAAGACACTCCGACGCGGACCAGATTTTCCCTCCCACAGCCTCCTTCGCGGCTCTCGCGGCTCACCTACTTCCGCCCTGCTGCAGTGGTGAGGCTTTCGTACGTCTGCCAGCTGGGGCAGCAGAAAGGGAGATCTCGTTCGGATATTTTTCAGCTTTTCTCTCGGTATCCTCACGGCCTTGATTTCATTTTGAAGCACCGGCCTTTCCTGCGCTCCGTCCTCGTCATATCGCCGTGTCTCGCTTATCATTTTCATCTCTCTTGCCTTCATCTCGATCTGCCGACTGCTTATCGATAACGTTCGATCTTCGCAGTCGTGACGTCTCATTGACACACCCCTCGGCGCTCTTCTCGCGCGAGATCGTACCATTTATATTTGTCTCACTTCACTCGCGCATTTGCATCCGTAACAGAAGAAGTGCCCGCCAAGAAGGTGAGCTTTCTCGTGGACGTAAACATTCGAGGAACGGCCGCTTTTCTCCTCGGCTCTTGGGATAAGCGCCGAGGGGTCGAGGGCCGATGGGACGGCTAGCGTGGAATCGAGAGGCAAGAAAACCGATATTTTGGCGTGACAGTGTTCAATCCCGAAATGAACGCACACACGTGACACGTGACATTGCGTTTGGCACGAGTCAATTTTTTTCTATCCTGTACGACAATTTTTTTTTTTCCTGCAGATTACGCGCGCGGAGATGGTCTATCGACGTTGCGTCCTTATTCTATCTCGAGCTGACATTTCATGAACCGAGAGGGAGTCGACGCGTAAGAATTAGCGCGTTTTAGAAAATACTTGGGCCACGTACACGGGGACGTCGGATATTGCATTTTATCGGTTATCTTCTTGTCCGTAGCGATGAAAGGGAAACGAGCTGTGTCGCGTCGCGACCGACTAGGAAAATTAAGTTAGCGAGGATCGCAACTCGAGGAGGAATCAATTTCTCCTCTGAACAGCATCGACTGCATTTCAAACTATCGCGATAACAAAGCGAACAATTGAATCTCATCAATGCGATCATTTAATCGCGTTGGTATTGACCGGTCCCCTCGTTTAACGGGCTACCCCTTCTCGCATTTAAGCACTGAACGATTTTCCGCTTTGGAACGGGCCGTAGATTGAAACGAGTTTGAGCGTCATCAAAGTAAACAAAAAAACGGTGACGCAGCTTGCAATTTTTCTCGTCACAATTCGTCGGTCAGATGTCGCGAATTTCGACCTTTATCTCTTTTTTTTTTTTTCAGACTGACAGAGGCACACCGAAACGCTATCCGGGCAATCAGGAAGATCAAGTACTTTGTGGCCCGCAGAAAGTTTCAACAGGCTCGGAAACCGTACGATGTCCGTGACGTCATCGAGCAATACAGTCAGGGTCACCTGAACATGATGGTGCGGATTAAGGTGAGCCTGATCCTACCGACTTCACCCATTTTCGGACGCGTCGAGAACAGTTATTTGCAAGTCACCCAAAAAGTCAGCTGTTTCCTCACGTTGCAGAAGAGGCTCCTGTATTTTTCATTGCTTCCTCGGTATTCTTTCGCGGCCGTCGATGAAATGCTTCAAATCGTTTGACGCGCTACGGATTGATGACGGCGTGTTGAACGAACCTGTCCTTCCTAGTAAGCCGCCACGTTTGTCCCGGTAATTCCAATTATCCTTATTTGACGGATTAATCGTCAGTAGCGAGTCCTCCGCCCCCATCTCAGTGCTCAATCGAACGCGCGCGATCACTCGTCGACAATTGGAGCACGACACGCAAGATCGAGGGGTACGGCGCGGGGCATGTGTGGTCGATTCGCGTGGACAATGCAGTCGTCGATACACGACACAAAACAGCCGGCAGCTAATCGACGAATAGTCGTTGCAGCCTGTCACTTGAGAGTGTATCTACGCCAGTTAGGCGCCAGGAATTATTCGCGTGTACGTCAGGCCTTTATCGAGATTTCAACGAAGTTATCCTGAAGTCTAGTTTTCATAATAGCATCTCTAAATTATCATAAAAGCATTATGAAAAATAAAATATAATTATGATTTTTTATAACTGCGAGTTATTGAATATAATATCGATTTTATTACTTTTTATAACATAGTTATGTAAAAAAACTTCATATCCCAGTTATTAAATTTAATATGGATTTTTCTAATAGTGTATAAAAATTTTTTGTGCACTACATCCGCATGTGTTGCCCCTTTTAGCTTTGATTAATTGTCACGAGCACTTCGACATCCACTGACATCCATTCTCCGCGAACATTTTCGACAATTTCCACATTTCCAAACGTGTCATATCTAAACAGTTGCACACAACGTGATAATCTATAATAAAATAAAAAAAAATAGAAGAAGAAGGTAACGTCGTGTAATAACAAGGTGCACAAGATGCATGGAGAGAGTTTTATAGTAAAAATTATGAAAATTAATCAAAGCGAAGCTAAAAGAGTGTTGCCTCTGCGTCCAGTGGATGTCGAAGTGTTCGTGACAATTAATTAAAGCAAGGCTAAAAGAGGCAACACACGCGGATGGTAGTGCACAAAAAATTTTTATACACCGTTAGAAAAATCCGTATTAAATTTAATAACTGGGATGTGAAGTTTTTTACATAATTATGTTATAAAAAAGTAATAATAAAATCAATATTATATTCAATAACTCATAGTTATAAAAAATCGTAATCAGATTTTATTTTTTATAATGTTTTTATGATAATTTAGAAATGTTATTGTGAAAAATAGACTTCTGGATAGCTTCGTTAAAATCTCGATAAAGGCCACGATACTTTGCAAGCTAAATCCTTCAAGCCACGTGATCGAAACAGTCTCGTATTTATGATATATAAAAAATATAAAAAAAATTATTCTAACATATCATAACGTGTTATACTATTTCATAATTTAATATGGAATTTAATAAGAAAACATGGAATATAAGATAGAAAATATTAGATTTTATAAGAAATATGAAAATTATAATTAATTTATCACTACAAATCCTAATATTATGAAAATCTTCACCATAATTAATTTTAATATCAAATTCTTAAATTTACATACAAAAATGCTATTATTTTTAAGAACTTTTCTAACAGTGTATATAAACAAAAGTATGTATGTTAATGATACCTCAACGCAACAAAAATTAACCAAACGTACGTACGTTTCAATTACACTTTAACTCTCTCTTCAGTGGTGAAAAATATCTAATAAAATATAATAAATTTTTAAGAATTTTTAAAGAATTTTTGCGCTATCCACGTATTGGCTCTTTTGCCCTCACTTTTATTAATTTTCTCGATTAAATATCTTATTAGTCTTAATTGCAATATTATTATTATAGTAAAAATTACCACAGGATATTATAGCCGAGGAATAGATTGACATTCTACAGTAATTCTCTATTATTTTATTTTATGTGTTATTTATATTTTAGAAACTGAAATGTACGATTACTGAAATGTACGAAACACTTGCTATGTTTCTGATGAAATTTACTGTGTGCCTTAGTAAGACAGATCTCACAGACAGTCTATTCTTGTGAATTATTGAAAACATAATAAAATTGAAAAAAATTTTTATGGAAAAGAAAACTGTAATATGCTTTCCGTGTAAAGCCGGTCGGCAAGGACAAAACGTCAATCGCTGTGAGACGACTTCTGCGAGCGCACTTTCTTTTGTTTGTCGAAGAAAGCTTCGGGATATTTCGTGACAAGCGAGTGGGGTTTTGTTATGTATCGGGGAGATCGATAACACCCTCCGACTCTCGTTGCTTCACAGTAAATCCCGCTGACGAAATTTCGAGTTGCTGCTCTTCGAGCGCGACAAAGGCTCTTCCGTGCATTGTTTAACCCTTCATTTGGCAATGTTGCTCTCAAGCAACATCGATTTCTCACAAGCTATATGCAGCAACGAAGGATGCAGGATGCATTTATTTAGCACTGTTGTCCTGAAGCAATATTTACTTGGTTATTTGTTATTTTAGTTATCTGTTATCGTTGGTACTTAGTAGTTTCGATTTTTGCCACTCCTTAATAAGTTTATACTTGCAGGTTTATTATAAATAAAAAGATATTTTTAAAACATACAATTGCATTCAGGAGATATCATTCACTTCATTTAAATAAAAATAATAATAAAAACTAAAAGAAATTATTTCCTTAAATTTCTTTAAGTTTTATGTCTCAAATAAAGAGTTCACTAATTATGGCGTGTCACATTAATGCCGAAAGTTTATGTTCTAGCGTTGATTTTCTCTTTTCACTTTGCGACAATCTGCGGATTCGTCCCCCGTATCTAATAATACTTTATATAATTCCATCAAAGTGCCGGGATATAATGACGGAAGAAGGAAGAATTATTTTGGAACGAGAGGGAGCACGATATCGATTGCGAATAACGTGCTTAACTGTTCCATTTGACGGCGTGCTTTTTTGCCATAACATTTTTGCCCAGGCGCAGATTGACTACGAACGTTGATCGCACGCTTGATTTGTCTGCAGGAGTTGCAGAGAAGATTGGATCAGACCCTGGGTAAGCCGGGGAGCTACCTGGCGGGAATCGACCGAGCGGGCAACGTGAAACCCATGACGATTGGTGCGCGTTTATACAGAGTCGAGCAGCAGGTGCGTGTCTCGCCCTAACGAATATTTCTATCCGTCGTGATTGTCCGGTTATTTTAATCATTCACGCGATCCCGTCGTAGACTCTCGTGATCAGATTTATTATGAGCTTCGCTCATAGTCGTGAAAACGGCGCAGTTAAGAACGCGCGTTGCTTCGAGATATACAGTCACAAAACGGCTACACGCAATGAAGCTGAGAGCATACTAAACTATCAAAATTGAGAACATTTCTGTACAGACTTGTACACTGAGAAGAAAAAGCGGTTGAATTGACAAAATCAGCGGTCACCGGCCATCATAAGAAACACTGGATCAATTCAACAAAATGCAATGTTAATGCAACAATAAGTTGCGTTGAAATCACTATATCAACACAACTTATTGTTCTATTAACATTGTATTTTATTGAATTGATCCAATATTCTTTTGATGGCCGGTGACTGCCGATTTTGTCAATTCAACCGTTTTTTCTCAGTATATAATAACAATAAAAATTAATAATCCAAAATAATAGTAAATAATAATATTAATTAATAATATAATTATATATATACAGGGTATCGTGAAACTACCGTATGCTATTTTAGTGTCAGATTTTTTAGAACATTTCAAAACGAAAACTTTCATACAAAAATATTGAGGCTGTAATAGTTTTCAAATGGGAAGCGATTATATTTTACCAGTACCTGATCTCAAACCTGTATATATATAGGGTGTCTCACACTCTCCTCCGGGCATTTTGTGGGGACGTAGAACAGGTTGAGGTGAACATAAAAGTCTTGTATCGTTTTGCGATATTCGCAATAATTATCGAGATATTAATTGTAGAAAACTTGTAAATGATCATGTGGAATATGGTACATGAGTTACAGTAACGACGACTGCCGTCGTATATTTATACTTTAGGTCAAATTGAACAAAAAAGTCCTCTACCATTTTCCAAATAATCATATAGATTTTTAATTATTAATTAAAGAAGATTATTGCACGATTTTGCGTGATAATGCACTCATCTTCTTTAATTAATAATTAAAAATTTATGTGATTATTTGCAAAATGGTATTTGGAGGATTTTTTTGTTTAATTTGACCTAAAGTATAAATACACAACGGCAGTCGTCGCTACTGTAATTCATTTACCATATTCTGCATGATCATTCACAAACGTTCTACAATTAATATCTTGATAATTATTGCGAATATCGCAAAACGGTTCACCTCAACCTACTACGTCCCCACAAAATGCCCGGAGGAGAGTGTGAGACACCCTGTATATATATATGTGTATGTATATATATATATATATATATATATATATATATATATATATGTATATATATATATATAATTTACGGTAAGCCCGTCACACACATATACACACAGTAGTGACTTTCAATTTCAGTTTGGTGAGCTCCCAACTTCATTGTGTCTAAACTGTTTTGCAACTATACAAGGTGTTGCACTTGCATAAATGTCGGTACAAAGGGTTGTTTACGTGTTTTGCTGATAGATGCGCGGTAGTTGTGCATTCACTTTCTTTCTTATGAAATTTACATGCTCAAGTGAGCATTCCGCCAAAGAGATTACTGAGATTGTGCACGATTACGCGCGCTCGCCAGCGAAACGCATAGACAACCCGTATATAAGTGCAACTTTACTGTACTGCGCGTTCGCGCGTAATCTCGATGAAAATTTACGATCACGGATCCGAGTGCATCGGGTTGCACTTTCTGCTTTCAGCTGTCGGTGATGGATAAGAAGCTGGACCAGCTGGTGTACGTGCTGAACGCGGTGGCGCAGAAACAGCAGATACCGCTGCGTAGTATAGAGGACGACGTGTAACAGAGAGCCCCCGGCGAACTTGTGCAATCCATTTCACGGTCACGATCGGTTTCATGGATCCCACCTCGCGTCACAATAACCACGGTGAAGCCGAGTATGCTCAGTGAGAGCACTTGAACGCGAAACGCCGGTGTCCCGACGGTATCCTGAGTATACGTCCGGAAAGTACGAAACGTTTACGAAGAGCGAGTGTCGCCCGACATCCGTCTCGAGAGGAGGATCCTGGAAACCACGTGGCACGTTGAAGGAAAAGAGATCGGAGGGGTAACATGCGACACGACAGAAGTCGGGGGACCGCGGAGGAAACCACGCTTCTTACAACTTCGATCCTATAACGATCTAACCCGAAGGAACGTATCGCCGTGAGAGATCACCACCCGCACTTTCCGGAAGACACAAGAGCGATATCCGGTGGCGGCACCCGTTGTCGGCTCGAGGTCGTGAGGAGAGTCCTTGAAACGCGAGCGACGTAGTCAAACGCACAGGAAGCATGATCGAGTCAACGGGGCGCGAGCGGAAACGGGGGATGAGAATCGCGGATCGTTATATCCGCTACACGCGCGCTCTGCACGCGCCATGTACGCCGTTCAAAAGGAAAGAGAAAAGGAAGAATAAAGGAAGAAGTGGAAAAAGCGACGTTTCGTGGACCGAAACGAAAGCATGCGAAGTCGCGTGGTTAGTTATTACGGCGCGAACGAATATACATTATTCATTGACGACGGGACGACGATCAATCGCGGCGCTCGATCTCGTCCCCGGAGAGCGGTAAAACGAAAAGAAAGGGGGTGAAAAGGAGACAGGAATATCGACGCTGTTCCGTATTTTTCAGTTCGCCGAAGGAATGAGTAAACGCCAATGGGAACATCATTCGGGCCAACTAGGAATAATAAAGAGGAACAATAAGCAACTGAACTTCCTAGAGCAGATTTTAAGCCTGTTAATTAAACTCGTATATAGACTGCCGATCGTCCTGCCGATCGGTGGATTATTTATCGAAGAAACGGAATCTCGTCATCGAGTATCGGTACCGAGGAGACACCGACGGTTCCCCACGCGAGAAAAGGGTCATGGTTTCCAGTCGTGGTTCCGTTACGACTCCCCCAGCACACGAAACCGACGGAGCCAACGGAGAACCGTCGCCGACGAGTCGCTCAGGCGATTCGTTTCGGTTAAAGCCGCGAGCCCTCGATTTATTTGTATCCCGTTTTATTTCTTCGGCCCAGCACAAATGTAGTAGGCATTTCGAGGTAACCCGCTTTAAGCCCGCCTATATTATTCTCCATTTTTTTATGGCATTCCCCGACCACACTCGCCTACAATGCTTGTCCCTGAAGAGCAATACGTCTACATAGATTATAGGTGCTGCTCCGTGAACCTTCGATACGATATACATACTCATATATGTATATGTATCTGTAATATTAGTCTTCGACGCTCGCGCGAGTTTTAAGGAATGTTTTAAGAATATAAGGATACACGCTGCGAGAGAAGAAGAAGAGGAAGAAGAAGAGGAAGAAGAGGAAGACGAGGAGAGGAGACGTGTCAATATTTACATACCGCGAGTAGCATGGAGGCGCGACACGCTGTCTCGCATACAAATACAATTTATATTTTGTACGTAGTGTTATTTACGGAACATTAAGGTCGGAGACGTGCACCGCGCTCTCTCGAATTTCGCGCGATTCGTAAGCGCGTTATAGCCCGTACGAAGCTCTCTCTTACTACTTATAGGATCGAAGCCGTAGGTTGCGACGCAGCACGAATCCGGGGGACTCGCGATTTTTCGTCGCGAGTCGGATGTAAGGGCCGGCCGGGATCGATTCGAGAGACATCGACGCAGAGGACGCGTAATAGCTGCGGTTCTTATGATTTCGTCGACTGCCAAGATAGTTCTAAATCGAGACGAGCAATATAATGTTAATAAGTTCAGATAGCGTTCAAGCGACGACGGACTCGCGTTGTCTCGCAATTCTCTGCTTCGCGCCGATCGATTAACGACCAGTCTTTCGCGGGCAAGGAGATTGTCCTTTACCGAGCAAATCTGTATGTGTGTGTGTGTGTGTGTGTGTGTGTCTCGCACTTTATACATGCATACATATATATTTATACAGGTTGTCCTATTTTGAATAGGCCAGCCGAATATCTCGAACATACATACATAAATTCGCGCGTGCATCATTGCGGATGATAAGAGAGTTGCATTTTTCATTACTAAATAACTTCCAAACTATTAGATCTAGATCTTACACGTCTTAGGAATTTTCTATATGGAATTTAGCAATTTTTTAGAATTTGCTACAAAAAGCAACACTTTTTATTAAAAGAAAAACAAGGTTGACCTCCATATGATGTGAGTGAATGACCCTAATTAAAATTTAAAGTTACCGTTTTTTCTGCCTCGAAACTTTATACATTTCGTCTGAAACGTTTTTATCTGTCGGGTTCAATTTTCCAAATATTCAACTGGCCTCTTTAAAACGGGCTACCTTGGATAAATATATGTATATATATATATATATATATATATATATATATATATATATATATATATA